ATCTTATAGATATAACAGCCTATTTTCATCTAATAACAACTTCAATTGCATACAAAAACTCTACTCTTTAAATCCCCCCACAACATGTTGTTTTTTGTTTCAAAATTTACATCTTTCCATATTATGTATCCCTTAATAAATTATTGTAGCTATACCTATTTTAAATAATTTTGTCCTTTAACCTTCATACTAGAGTTAAGTGGTTAACCCACCACCATGTTACAGTATTAGAGTATTCTGAATCTGACTATACACTTACCTTTACCAGTGTATTGTATATTTTCATATGTTTTCACGTTACTAGTTAGTGTTCTTTTGCTCCAGCTTGAACTCCTTTTTGCATTTCTTCTATGGAAGGTCTGGTGGTGATGCACTTCCTCGGCTTTTATTTGTTAGGGAAAGTCTTTGTGTCACTTTCATTTCTGAAGGACAACTTTGCTGGGTTAATGTATTCCTGGTAGGCAGTTTTTTCCTTTCGATACTTCAAGTATATCATCCTATTCTCTCTGGCCTGCAAGATTTCTGCTGAGAAATTCATTGGTAGCCTTATGGGGGGTTCTCTTGTATGAGGGAAATTTTTTTTTCTAGCCACTTTTAAAATTCTATCTTTGATTTTAGACAGTTTTATTATAATGTGTCTGGGAGAAGATTGTTTTGGATTGATATTTTGGGGTGACCTGTTGTCTTCATGAACTTAGATGTTCAAATCTCTCCCCAGGTTTGGGAAGTTCTCAGCCATTATTTCTTTAAATAAGATTTCTATCTCTTTCTCTCTCTCTTCTCCTTCTGTGACTCCAATGATGTATAGATTGTTTCTCTTAATGGTGGCCTATAAGCCCTATGGAGCTTTCCATATTCCTTTTCATTCTTTTTTCTTTTTGCTCCTGTCACTGGATAATTTCAAATGACCTGTCTTTGAGCTCACTAATTCTTTCTTCTGCTCACTCAAGTCCACTGTTGAATCTCTCTGTTGAATTCTTTAGCTCTGAAATCTCTGTTTGGTTCCTTTTGACATTTCCTATCTCTTTGTTGAACTTCTCATCTTGTTATTGTATTGTTTTTTCCTGATTTTGTTATATTATTTATCTGCATTCTCTTGTAGTTCTCTGAGCATCTTTAGAATAATTATTTGAATTCTTTGTCTAGCAATTCATGGATCTCCATTTCTTTGTGTTCAGGTCCTGGAACTTTGCAGTGTTCCTTTGGTGGTGTCATGATTCCCTGATTCTTCATGATCCCTGTAGCCTTGCACAGGTGCCTGTATATGTGAAGAAGAAGTTGCCTCTTCCAGACTTTATGGACTGACTTTGGTAAGGAAAGAACTTCTTCTGCAGGTGGGAGTGCACTAGAATGTGCTGTGACTCTGGGTCTAGTGGTGTAGGGCACCAAGTGCGGGGGCATGTTGTGGCCCTGGGGTGGGAGGGAATGATGTCCTGTCAGCTCAGGCCACTGGGGTCAACAGCATCAACAACTGTGTGGTACTTGGTGAGTGCTGCAGGGAGTCTGCATTGGCTGCAAGGGCTGTTGGGGTCCTTAGTGGCACCTCTAGGTCTAGTGGCTAGGGACCAGGGCAATCAGCAGTGGTGGCCTGAGCCAGTGGTGTACACACATTTGGCTGTGGTGGCCAGCTGTGTGTTCCTGTGTAGTGGCAGGGACTGGTTGCAGACACACATGGAATGGTGGGGGCCAGGGCAAGCAGCAAGGGCAGGGGCCAACTGTGGATGCACTGGCAGTTACAGGGGCCCTGGCTGATGGCCTGGACTATCATGGTTGCTGGGCATCACCATTGGTGCATGGCAGTGGAGGCCAGTGTCAGGAGTCTGCCAGGGGCATGCAGGTGCACAGCTGGAGGAGTTAGCTGCAGGTGAGCCCAGTGGTTCAGGCCAGTGACAGGAGATAGGGTTGCTCCTGCTGCAAGGCTGATGCTGGTATCCCCTGGTCTAATTCCTTGTTCCTAGCTCTCTAGATGTCTTAGCATTGTCAATCTCAGAGTGGGGTGAAACTGAAGCAGGTCCTTTGTGTGGTGCCCCAAAAGGCTGGGGAAGCTGGTTGCTCACCCTGCTCTCCCTTTCCCAGTGAGAGAAACTCTTTCTAGCTCTAGGAATTCCCTTTTGGAGCTGAACAATGCAGGCCCAGGAGATGGGACGATGTAGGCAAAACGAAGCTGTTTTTCCTTCCTTTCTGTGTGGTTGTTCTCCAGTTTTTCATTCCACTGTGTTGCTGAAGTTTCTTGTGTGGACTCCAGAGGTCTCCCAGAGCTGTTTTTGTTTGTGGATAGCTGTCCAATGGTCGATCTTTGTGGGGGACGGAGGCTGGGGTCTCCTACATTGCCATCTTGGTGATAACACTTCTCCAATTTAGAAGTTATTATTTCTATATCATTTTTATTTGCACACAGAGAGCTATATCAAAAATAAAATAATTTTAAAAGTTCAGGGTGGGCCCCGTGGCTTAGCGGTTAAGTGCACACGCTCCGCTGCTAGCGGCCCAGGTTCAGATTCCGGGTGCGCACTGACGCACCGCTTCTCCAGCCATGCTGAGGCCGTGCCCCACATACAGCAACTAGAAGGATGTGCAACTATGACATACAACTATCTACTGGGGCTTTGGGGAAAAAAATATATAAATAAAATTATTAAAAAAATAAAATAAAATAATAAAAATTCACAATCTGTTTTGGGTATCTGTTCCACATGCCTACCACTATGGGAAACAATTCAACTGGTGTATCTCTTTTGAATGGGCAATAAGCAATTTTAGCTATCTTGTAGAGATATAAAAGCACAAATTTATCTGAAGGTTCTTCCAACTTATTCAAACACAATTTCTCTTATTTTCTCAGGGTTAATAGAGACACAGAGGAGACATAAATACAACATCCGATAAATGGAAAAAAATAAATCTAAGAAAAAGACTTACAAATCTAAGAAATGGCCTCTGAGATGGTGAGAGACTCTATATCCTGTGAGGGCTCTTGATGGCTTTGATTCCTCTGTATCTCATAATTGTTCCACGAAATACTGAGTACCATGGGTGTTTGGAAAGAAAAGGTTCTGCTTACATTTGTATTCATTCACTCATCTCTGCATGACTGACGGGAAAACATCCATGGGCACCCAGGTGTATTACTTAGATCTTTTCTCTCCATCACTGGGTAACATAACCTTGACTCTGGCCATGACAACTTCATACCTGAGCACAAGTGAGTCTATGGATGTTCCTCCAACTTTTCCGTGATGCATGGGTTGTATAGCCATGGCCAGGCTTTTCACAATCCCATAGCACAATGCAGCCTCACTAACCTGTCTCCATGAGCACTTCAGCTGCTCCTCATCAGCATGCTTCTCAGAGGTTCATGTCTCCTTTGTGACCAATTAATGCACATTTTTGCATAGCCTTGAAACTCAAAATAAATGAATATGACCAAAGATTCAGACACTATGGCATGCATATAAAACTACAGACTAGAGAATATTTTTTTTTATTGTGGTAACATTGGTTTATAACATTTATGAATTTGAGGTGTACATCATTATACTTCTATTTATGTATAGATTACATCATGCTCCTCACCCAAATACTAATTACAATCCGTCACCACACACATGTGCCTTATCATCCCTTTTGCCCTCCTCCCTCCCCCCTTCCCATCGGGTAACCACCAATCCAGTCTCTGTCTCTATATGTTTGTTTGTTGTTGTTTTTATCTTCTACTTATGAGTGAGGTCATATGGTATTTGACCTTCTCCCTCTGACTTATTTCACTGAGCGTGGTACCCTCAATGCCCATCCATGTTGCCAGACTAGGGAATATTGAGAGTAACTGGAGTGAGTTATTTTCCTTGGGAGCCCAGTACTTTCTAGCTCTGGTACTAAGTAGTACTACCTTTCTATAATTAATCATAGCAAGGATTTGTGATGATGGTATTACATCCTTCTTTTACAAGTTAGAAAACTGATACTCAGAGAGCTTGTGCAACAGTTTTGACATGAATGTAACTGCAAATAAATGGTGGTGCAAGCCTTTGGATTCAGGTCTCTTTGGTCTCCATAGTCTGTGACAAAGTCACACTAAATATAGATATTGTTTTTTAGGAAGTTTAATTCATCTAGTATTGTGCAATTTTTTTTGGATTAATATTGCCTCCTTTTTAGGAGCAGTGAAGACAGCAGAAGAGTAAGGACTTTCTTACTCCCCTATAGTTTACTAGAATGAAGTACCATTATATAAGTTATAT